TATGTCGACTTGCCAAGATAATCTATCTCGCCATGAACATGCAATATGTATTATATTGACTTGTCAATATAATCTATCTCGCCATGACAACATACAACTTTTACTATGTCGACTTGCCAAGATAATCTATCTCGCAATGACAATATATCTCACCATGACAACATACAATTTTTACTATGTCGACTTGTCAAGATAATCTATCTCGCCATAACAACATACAATATGTATTATGTCGACTTGTCAAGATAATCTATCTCGCCATGACAACATAACATTTTTACTATGTCGACTTGTCAAGATAATTTATCTCACCATGACAACATACAATTTTTAGTATGTCGACTTGTCAAGATAACCTATCTTGTCATGACAACAAAACATTTTTAGTATATCGACTTGTCAAGATAATCTATCTCGCCATGTCGACATGATATGTATATTATGTCGACTTGACAACATAATTATCTTGACAAGTCGTCAAGTCGAATGGCATTTAGGTGCTTCCGTAGGAATCACCTCATCAAGACCTTCAATATAAAACCATTTACAATGCAATTGGCCTATTGTGAAATTTTCCCCTGAACACCCTAACAGTACAATATAATAGACTACCCTACTTTACTTACGATAGTTAGCATAAACAGGCTTAAGTCGGCGCTAATTAATACAGTGTCGCATCCGGCCTTGAAAACGGTTACCAACTTTAAAGCAAGTCCTAGGCCTAGGCTATCTATTTTCTAAGTATCCAATACCATAGATTACCAGTAACTAGGCCCAGGGAGTTGTCATAGTGAACTAGGCCCAAAGGGCCTAAGCTACAGGAGTGCAGTACGTAACCTAGCCTAGGCCTAGGTACTAGACTACGTACTGACACGGACGTTACACGGTACGCGGCTAGCTAGGCCCAAGGATAGTATTTAAAGAAAATATGCCTCGCCTACCTAGCTAGCCTAGGCCTAGGCCTCAAGGCCCTAGTCTTAGTAATGAACTTAAAACAAACTAAAATAAACACACACTATTAAAATAGTTACCCTACGATGAACCATCAGTCACACATATTCAGAGCCACTTAAACGGTCAAAATCATAGTTATTTCTGGGGGGAAAACAGCTAGAAAGCTAAGGTCTTTAAAACCGGAACCACAGCGCGGCCGTTTTGTTTAAACCTTTAAACTTGCCGCAAAACGGCCGGAGATTATCGTACAGCTAATTTCATTGGTCGAGAGAACAACGCTTACAGAGCTAGAGGAACAACGAGCTATGTGGTGGCGACATTTCGTACCTCAATCAGATCTCTCAGCATGGACTTTTCGTAAAATGCCTTTGATTTGATCAATCCTATTCTTAGAAGACAGGTGTGGAGTTAATTAAATGAAAACGTTAGTTAGCCCACGTAAAACCTGTTAAAAATCTAACTTGCTTAGTGTGCAACCAAGGATCACTTTTTAATAATTCCGTATAGAGACTAACTTTAATAAGTGGTAAATTGTGCTGAGGATAGTTAAGAATTAAATGCAAATTGGTGACTGTTTTTTTCTTACTGTATATTGTATTACTTATTGTATGGAAATAAAAATATTTGATTTGATTTCATCTTTAATCACCTTATTAAATTATCAACGATAGAAATGGGTCTACAAAATGAGCTAGTGTTTCTCCTCCGGTGAAGGAGAAACAAATTTGATAAATCCACTTCTGTCGTACGTACAACTGATTTTTCTAAAAACACAAAACTATGTTTGAAGGAGGGACGGAAACGATTAGGCTTAATGATATTTTTGAATAAACTTGGGGAAGATCTAGGTGTTTACATGTGTCTTTGAAAAATCAGTTGTACACATGCCAAACATCAAAACATTCTGCATAATTACCAACCGCCTCGCATCGTGCGGGCGGGACAGTCCCGCATTTAAAGTGATTTTGGATGAAACACGCATTTTGTAGAAACACATGCGTGATCATTTGTCACGCAAGCACAAGTCTTAAGTGTGATAACGAATTACCTGTATCATGAATTCAATGGAAAATGTAGGCCTAGGCCTATTTGATATTAACGATATAAAACCGGTCATGGAGTACAACTTGAGTCATTAGAGAGCATTAGTTATCTCATTCAAGAATCAATTCACCGACAAAATTTCTCTTTCTCGACCAACAACCCAGCCAACGGTAACCATGCCAAGCACTTAGTAGAATCATAGAGAAAATAGAACAGAACTGTTCTATTTTCTCTATGGTAGAATCTAGGAAGTGCGTACGGTCTTGGGCGTTCAATTGCCACCCACCAATGTGACTGAAGGACACCGAGCTCCGCGCCCAGTGTGGACGTCCCGGCGATGGTCCTGGTGGATCACCCTCCCGGCCCCAGCCAACTGGTGTAGTCACGCATTTCAATCTCTCGGGGTAACTGTTAATGAACTTGGTGATTTTGATAATTATCGGTCAATGTGAAATGAATTTAAAATAATGGTTTATTGGCGTAGGGATAGGGCACTGCAGCCAGTACAAAGCACCGGGGCCCATGGGATAGGAATCCATTCATATAAATAGGCCTAAATAATTTCTAACTTAATATTTTTGAAGAAAAAACGGCCAGTGGGCCCCTCATATTATTTAGGTGAGTGAATTATTGATTCCTGTGTTGATTTCAATTCAGTGGTGGATTCAAGTATATCCAGTCGGCCTGGACATGGCGGCTGTAATTTTCAAGATTAAAAAAAAAATATTCTAACTTTAAAATCTGGGAGTGCCGTATTTCCGGCCATTCTACTGAGGTGCCATAATCATATATACATTACCTCAGCCCCAACCATGGTGGGCGGCTGGTGGTCTATAGGCCTACCCTCCTTCTGCTGTATGATAATTCCTTCCGATTCAATTTGGGGGGAGGGGGTGTCGGTCAAGACCCCCTACCCTAAATTTTTCAAAATTAAAAAACATATTTGTTGAAGAAAAAAAAGGGAAATAGGCATGTTAATCATGGTCTGATCAGTTTGCCAACCGGCCACTAGGTGGCATCATTCCGTCAGCCCCCCCAACCATGGGATTGGTCTAGATCAACTCATCTGTGAAAGTCCCTCCCTGGGCCCCCTTCGTTTCGACTTCCTGGATCCGCTACTGCTCACTAGGCCCGTCACAGGCCATATTGGATGCAGGGTGAAAAAGAAACACTTAAGAAGAATTTTCTGAAAGCGTGAAACAGTATAATTCTTTCATTCTTGAATTCAAATGACGGCCCATGAAAATCTATAGAAAACAGTGAATAAAAATCAGGATAGGCCGGGCTTAATTGACTGGGTAGGCCTATTCAGTTCGAATAGATCTTGGAAAACACGCAAACTGGAGAGTAGCCTAATGTAAGCAAATAAAGCACTCTAAATCGTGCGGAATACGTCATTGCGTCAATATGCCACCACTAAATAAATGCTTGGAATGAAATACCGAATGTGATGAATCGATAATTGAACATAAATAAATTTGTAGTAGTGATACACTATGTACACGGTTCAGTTATTGTTATTTATTCGTTAACGTTATTATATTTATAAATTTAATGTATTATTTAAGTATGAATTACTGTACTATGTCCATATGTTAAATTAATCTTATCTATTAAAATTGTATATTTAAATAATATAGTAATAGGCATTGCTGAGGTCTAGCCTAGACTAGGCCTAAACAAATGACTATATGTGAGTGTATAAAATTATGAAAAATATGAAAAAAACGCAAAATTGTGAAAGAATAAAGGAAGAAGGAAGACAGGAAAGAGATTTGGAGCGGCTTAGATTAGTGCCTAAAATTGTTTACAAAATCGTAATGCAATAATAGCATATTGACTATACATTATATTTTCGGAAAATATTTCAGCCGCTCCAAAAAATTTTATACATCCGGTGTTATGTATCATAACCTAGGCTACTATTGCTAACGCTTTCACCATTAAAGGTTTTTTTCTATGAAGGGAATGACCTGTACGAAACACGAGCTCCTGTAGAAACCCAGTACCGTTGCGATTTTAATCGTGCGGGAAATATCCTCAAGATGACCTAACTACATTTCATAAACTTGTCTCCAATATTTGTACGATTTTTTTCAGAGCAAGTTTATACTCTGAAAATAGCCTTAATAATAATGACAAAAAGAGAGTAAACAGTTTTTCACTAGTTTGATGATTAGGCTATAAAAATTGTAATAAATGGAGCCTTGTAGCGTGTGAAGTTATCTAATGAGTTTTTCAGTGATTAATTATTGATACATAGAAGTGAATGCTGTGTTGTATACAAACAGCATTAAACAGGAGCCAATTATAATACTTTTTGAAAAATTTTATTTTATTTTAATTGTTTTAATTTTTGGAATATTCATGAACCAGGCCTTCATGAATTCACAACTAAACATTATTATTATATTAGGTACCGGTATCAAAATTGCCCTAGGGCATTAGACGTGTACCGATATGTTGCTCTGTAACAAATTGCTGATCTGAAGGGTGCATGCTACACAACTAATAATGTCAATTCAGCGTAACATGACATTTAGAATAATGATTATTCAGGGTTCAACACCAATGCAACATTTTATTCAATGTAATTGATAGATTTTCTTGACCTGTTGCACAAAAATTAGCTTTTTTTCTAATTTCTAATACTTTTTTTTTTTATAACAATACACTTATACAGTGATAATGGCATCTTTAAAGTAATAAAAAACAAGAAACATGTTTTTATGTAGAATTTATACTTTTCTGTCTACTCCTGTCCGAAGTGATCGCAAAGGAATGCCTATCAAAGGCCGCAAACAACTCTGCATCATCGGGCAAATTACCCGTAATAAGTGTTATTCTGTTAATGCAGGTATTGCTTGTTGGAATCCAGCTACCACCTTTAAGTTCTGTGTAGGGGAGTCTAAGAACTTGATAACTGATGATGAGGCGTGATGCACGCTATAAAATTACAATTACCCCGTTGAAATAATGGACGATTCCGTTGTTCATTTGGCATTTTACATCGTTTGGGAAAGTACGTTGTTCGTTTGGCAATGTACCAGGGCCGGCGGAACATTTTTCAAAGTTGGGGGGAGGGGGGAACTTATAAGAAGGCGCGTAAC